CTGCTGTATCAGTGTGTTGTTCAAGTAGCGTCTGTTGACAGTCAATAGTAGCAATGGCATGTGCGCTGTATTTATGGCAAATTAATAGAACTACTGCCATTTCTTGTAAATGGTGATGGGAGTCGTAACAGGGCTTTTGATTAACACTCACCAGAAGGAATCTTGAAAATGCTGCAGGACTGGATTTCGTCAAGTTCAAGTTCAAGTTCCCTGGATGGATTGCCCACAGGGCATATAGAAAATTAAATGTTATTCATTTCTGTCCATCTTTATGGATGTTTCTGTCTGTCAGTGTCTGAAGACAACATTAGAGATGATGAATGGGTGAGTCTTTTCAAAACTATAATGTGGTTGGTATAAAGAGAAATTAAGCAACAAGTTCTTCTTGTTCTTTTTATAGATTTTACTATGATGTCTGTTTATGGGTGTGGTTTGCTGCCCACATTCTTTATATACAGAGATGTTCTAGCAGACTTCATCACAGCAGCAGATCTGCTCTGCACTCAACAGAACGAAAATGAGTAGCATCATCACATATTACGGTAGGTTACTATGTATTCATGATACGAATTTTATACACATGGTTTTCTAGACGATACGTGATATGATATTTGAAGATGAAATTGTAAAGTGAGGTGAGAGAGATCTGATAAGAATGTAATATGAAAAAAAAATGTTTAGGTCATTTTCCAGTCTCCTCAATGATAATTAATATGCCATTTACAAACTTAACTCATTTTAATTGATGTATTTTGTGTACTTAGCCTCTGGTCTCTACAACTTTGCTCTCCCTGTCTGGAACCTAATCGCTAAATATGGTAAGTCAATATACAAACATATTTATGATATTAATCATAAGAATAAAATCTGTAATAATTTTATATTTTTGATGTGTTACACTTGAAATGGTTATTAAACACTAACTTGGGCCATTTTTTCAGTATGAAAGGGGGACATATGCTGCACACTCGCAGATTCATATTTCTGTTTTTGGGGCTCTCCTAGAAAATGATTACATGCTTTAATGTTCAAGAAACACACTATTTTTCTCATACTGTCCATTATTTCGGTGCCTTCTTGCTCGTTTATCTGAAATGGTTGCTTGTATTTTTTGTTCCCAACCCAGTTTAGATTAAAACACAGCCACTTCCATTTTGCTTGGGGTTAGGCATAAGACTACAGCTGTTCTGTCAAGACATTCGTCATGTTGAAGTGAAAGTGGTTTCATCTAAACTGGGTGGGAAAAATGACGGACAAAAATCTATTAATTTTGGACTCAGCTCTTGTCCCCCATGTTTTTCTCCCTCAATTCTTAGTCTCAAAAAAGTATCACATTTAATAGGCTACTTATTTCAATAACATTTTACAACAGTAGCCTACAATATTATTGCATATATATTGCATTTTAAAACAGATCTTATTTAGTCATCTTAAATGCCACTTTGTCCTCTTGTGTGACCTCTTTGTCATTTATCTGTCACACCAGAGGATGTTTCAGCCTTTTCTGTCAGTTACCGGCCTTGCTATTCTTAGCTAATTTGTCATTAGCATTTAGCAAGATGTATTTGCATAATTTTCCATGATTATGTGGTTTAACATACAGTTTTTAATTAAAAGAATATATTTTAGTTATGTCACTACAAAGGACAACAAAAGTGAACACTTTAATGGTTTGAAAAAAAAAGTTTAATATTTGAACAATTCTGAGACAAAAGCTTGCCATGTGCACATGTCATGGGCTTCACAGATGGCTCCAGTATGGGTCCTTCAAATAAATAAAGTTGTCCATGGAATTTCTCCATTTAAAATCAAGATATGGGCTGTGTCCGAAATCACTCAAATCACACAAATCATAGTCAGTTTGCCATTTTGTAGTGCTGTCTGAATGTTTAGTGGCAATTATTATATCCTACAGTATATAGTGGACTTGTTGTATCCCATCATGAAAAGTCGTGTACAACCGGTGGTCACTAACCAATCAATACATACCATCATGCATCGCATTTGTGCTGAAAGACAGAAAAATGACCTGAGTAGTGTCCAAAAAGTGTTTTTTCATTTTGCCGATGAGCTCATTGTATAGTCCGTAGAACTCCCTGGATACTGAGTAGGAAGGAGTGACTCACTATCTACAATGCTTGACCATATCCCACAATGAAACAATTATCAATCTAACCTATAGCTGTAGATGGAAAAATTGTCATGCTGGAACAGACTGCTCCCTTCAGGATAGAAATGTGTTCTCATAGAATGGAGGAATAACAGAGCCAGTCCAATCCAATAAAAAAAATGCAAGTACAACATACCTAAAATACTTCCGTTCACTGCTTCTCAGATGATTTGGTGTTGTGATTATCTGATCAGCACGGCTTCACTTGCCAGTGTCCTCTTCTTTACCAGCTGTGACAGTGGGGCCAGTATTGTTTTCATCGTGTGTGTGTGTGTGTGTGTGTGTGTGTGTGTTGTGTATTATCATTGACCAAAATGAAGTCCTAGAGACACTTATTATAGCAGGAACTACCAACAGAGGTGGTTTTGGAGTAGGTGTTTGCCAAGGCGCATGTGTTGTGCAAAGTGAATCGCAGAAAGAAGCTGGTATTCATTGGGGTTGGGATATGAACAATGTTGATGGGTGTTGTATCACTAGATGTTTTTCCATTAGCTTAAGGTATAACATACACAACACAAAAGCATTTGTCCCATTTAAAGGTTCTTTACATGCTATTAACCCAGGTGTTGATATTGTAACCACACATTGGTATTGTAATTGCAACACAACTTCACCAACTTCCATTTATCACCACAGTTATATTGTCTATCCTTGGTGCACGCATGAATACCCATCAATTGTTTGTCTTGTTTTTAAGTCTTCAGGTCAGAAGCTACCACGACCTTCAACAACAATGAACAACTAAGGATTGTGATGTTGGGGAAGACTGGAGTTGGAAAGAGCGCCACAGGAAATACCATTTTGGGAAAAACAAGCTTCAAATCAAACTGCTCCCCTAAATCTCTGACTTCACAGTGTGAAAAGGTCTATGGTGACGTTGGTGGACAAAGGGTCGCTGTCATTGACACTCCAGGTCTGTTTGACACCAGGAATGTTCAGAAGGAAACTATTGAAGTTATTGCTCAGTGCATTTCTTATGCTTGTCCTGGACCCCATATCTTCCTGGTCATAATCAGCCTGGACAGATACACAGAGGAAGAAAAGCAGTCGGTGCAGAAGATCCAGGAAATCTTTGGCGAGGACGCAGACAAATACAGTATGGTTCTCTTTACCCACGGTGACAAGCTCAAAGGCAGATCTATTGAGGAGTTCTTGAAGGAGAGCGAACACCTGCAGGAACTCGTGGCCAAATGTAACGGCCATTACCATGTCTTCAATAATGAGGTGAAGAATCGCTCGCAGGTGACCGGGCTGCTCGAGAAGATTCGAAGCATAAATGTGCTGAATGGAGGAAGCTGCTACACCAATGAGATGTTCAAGAAGACAGAGAGTGCAATTGAAGAGAAGTTTCAACAAATCCTGAGGGAGAAAGAAGAGCAAATGCAGAAGGAGTGGGAGGAGCTGAGAAAGGAAATAGAGGCAAAGTATAAAAAGAAGCTGAGGAAAGTGAAAGAGAAAACGAAAGAAGAAGCGGAGAACAGCAGTTCAGTAATGGATTTGATAACTGTTTTTATCATGAGTTGTGTTTCTCCTTTAAAAGACAGTTTCATGAAATACATAAAACAGCAAAACAATTGACCAATAATATGTCCCAGCAGCTCTCATATAACCCACACACAAATGGTCCCAGCAGTGGCCATTTAAGTCTCATGTGTGACGAATCATTCAGATTAAGAAAAAGAATACTCACAAGGTAGAATTAGAAATATAACCAAATTCCTCCACATTTTTAAGTTAGTATAGAACAGAGTGGTATTCATGAGTGTTAATTATTGTTTAATGACTTATTTTGTTAACAATATTGACGTTAACTGGTGATATTAATCTCACAAGATGATAAATCATTGTTTGGGAGTGTCAGAAATTATTGAGAAGATGTTGATGAATGTGCTATGAAATAAAACTAATAATAAATAAATATTCTGTGTGTATATATTTTGTTTTGCAATTGATTTCAAGGTGCAGGTACGTTTCTAACTTTATTCATTGAAGGTAGTTTCGATGACATTCGATCATATTCACAAGAAAAACAACCTTCTGTGACATGAATTTCAAAATTCTGTTTAAAATCAAGTTTTGCCTCTTTGGCCTCAAATAGTGATTTCAA